TAATATCGATCTGTTCCACACTCCCTTCCTGTGGGCGCCGATGAGGATGCGTACCCTGGATCGCTAGGAGAGGGCGGGCGGTACGGAAAAGTACGGAATACCATCTATCCGTTCTGTACGGGATAGAGTGTTGGCCCCTCGGACCTGTGGGTTTTGTCCAGGTGCTCTAGTTTCCTCCACACGTGTATAATGAACACTCAATAATTGGCTGAAAACATCTTAATGTATCGAGGACTGCAGAGCTTGGGCAACTGTTGGTAGCGCCGGCTCACCGCCCTACTGCTGCCTTCCGGTTCGTGATTGTGAGACGCGTTCTGCACGAAGGCCGCCACCGCTGTACGCAACTAAACACGACCATTATTATCGCGAATATTGTCCCTTCAAGTGACCTTCAATCCACACAACATGGAAGCAGCACTTTCCCGCCCACTCTGCATACAAAAGTTATGTTTGCGTGGCTTGACAGACCAACTGATATTTTTAATTCTCCGAGATGGATTCTAGCCACACCTAAGGGCGGACACCCGTACAAAGCGGGCGGTATAGTAGGGCCCAACGACAGCTGCCGCTGGCGCCGCACGGGGAGGGAGGGGGGCCGCTACTGCTGCCCCGAGGCCTCAATCACGCACGCAGACGGCGAGCGCCATCTTTATTCATCTCCACGCCTTAACGAGCCGACCCGCCATGCGCGCATCATCGTCGCTAATTGGGAGCGAGGCTCGGCGTCGTGGCTACGAGCCGTGGTTTTACGAGCGCCGATGTCTTAATTAAGCTCCACGCGCCGTAATTAATTTCTCCAGCCATTATCGCCAAGTTGGTTGGCGCGGGAGACGTGGGGAAGGGGTGCGCGGGGCAGAGAAAGCCGCCGGAAAAGGCTTAGGGCGAATGCAAAGTCAAGGCACGCTCGATTCCTCACACACACAAACACACACTCTCCATCACACACACACACCCTCCATCACAGACGCACACACACACACTCCATCACACACATAAACACACACCCTCCCCATCCCTCATACACACACCCTCCATCCCTCACACACACACTCTCCATTACACACACACACCCTCACACACACACACTCAGACTCATCCCGCACTTTCCCCGGACCCGGTCTGTATTTTCATGAATTTGCCATTTTAGTTGCCACTCTAACAGTTTGAATGACGGTGGCTGGCGGCCGGGCCCGAGGGCCGATAACGTGCGATGCTCAGCCCCATTTGGCTTCTTCGTTTACCTCCCAGGGCCACGCGACAAAGCTCCGCATGTAGCCTACACCGACTGTTGGAGCCGCAAGTGCTGTTAGCAAGCACCCATGAAGTCCGGCACGGCGCACGTATGAGGGAATAGGTGGGCATCACCACGCATGGCCACCTTTGCCTCCCCAATAACCAATGTTGACACCCCCAAAGTTTCTTTTTCAAGGCTGAGTCAACCTATGCCAGTCCCATGCCCAGTTCAGATAATCAGCACCAATTTCAGCCATTGGTGGGGCGGGGATCAAAATGAAGTTGCCGGGTTCGTAGCGCAGAGGAATAACCACTGCGCCAACGCTCCCCGCAGCCAACACACAGACACACACGTGCGCCTGCGGCATCACCTTATCAGCAATCGGCAAAGGTGCGGAGGTGGTGGGAGTAGGAGGGGAGGGAGGAGTATGAGGGAGCAAGATGGTGGGGGCAGACAGACCCTGGAGCGCAGGAAGAGGGAGGAAGGTGGGGAGCACAAATAAGATAAGAGTCAGATAGAGTAATACTGAACGGAGAGTTGAGGCGAGAGAGTGAAACGAGGAGGGAGAGGGGGGGGCAGAGGCGAAAGTGGAGGGAACAGACAGATAGGTGCAAGTGATGAGTGAGGGAGAGAGGGGGAGGTGGTGAGAAGCAGGGAGGGCGGTGTGCTCGGAGGTGGAGAGTGCGGGAGACGAGTGAGGGGTGGTGAGGAGGGACGTGGGTCCTGCCGGAGTGCTTCTCAACCCCCCTTGCACCTCCAGCCACCAGGTGTCCCGCGAGAGATAGCACATGGAGGAGGAGGCTAGGGTTCGTGGATCACGCAGAGATTTGTGACACTCCCAACCCCACTCGGGGCCAGGGTTCTTCGGTTTCCTCTCACGCCAAGCCAGGCAGCCTCTCTCGAAAAACGAACCGGAAAAACATCGCCCGTGCAGGACCCTCCTGAAAACGTGTCTTGAAGACTCATCATTGAGGCTTCTGGTCTGGATGCGTTAACGACGGTATTACCGCGCTAACGTACAACATCGCCCGTCCGACCTGCTGGGGGACTGCGGGCACAGGCGGTGATGTCAAGGGTGGGGAAACAGAACAACGTAGAGAGAGAATCATTGTTGCACCATCGCACACAGGTAGGTAACACTGGACCAAAATCACAGAGAGGAGGAAAAAAAAACTGCTTCGCCTGTGCTTTGCAAGTCAGCGGATGTGCACAAAACTAAACATGCACGTTAATTAGTGTGCGTGGAGAGATCACACTTGTGAACGTCTACAGGAAATGACAATGACGCACAAAACACCACACGGCAGAGCCGTGAGCAGGGCGTCGACCCGTCGCGGCGGCCACGTGACGACGGTGGGACGCGACGACGGTGCACACCGGGCTGGATGAGGGCTATGGGGAGGCTCATAGGGGGGAAGGGCCTAAGTAAGAATCGAAATTTTTATTCACCAATTCCGGAATCAGTCACGTAATCTGGAATCGGTCACCGGTTCTAGAAGTCAGGATCCGGTAACCGATTCCGGAATAGGACACCGGTAACCGATTACAATAATGAACGCAACCCGTTTAACACATTTAGCCCCACTGTTTCAGCTCCCGCGCCGAGAGACGGACTCGAACCGGCACCCTCCGCAGTGCAAGCCCCGAGCGACGGTAATCAACGCACCCGACAATTGCCATTCGTGCAGCAAACTGGTAACCGTATTTACCGTTTTGTTTTCGTGCAGTTACCGGTTATACAGACGTATGATAGAGTAACGGCGTGGGTGGGAGCTACGCCTGCACCCAGTGACCCCCACCACTCCCCTCACCCCCCCCCTTCCACCCCCTCCGCCGCAGTTTAATCCGTTGCTGCCGGGAGCGACAAGACGGACCTCGGCACGGCGAGCGGCGCACCGCCATTCATCACGTCGCCGCCACCACGTGCCACGCGGCACAAAAGGAAAAGATCCCCCGAGTAGCCCACGCATGCCGGTGGGGCAATTGCTCTGGGCGAGTACCGATGACAGCCGGCACGGCGCGGGAGCGGGTGGTGAGCAGTGCACCAGGTGCTCATTTATATCTGAGCCGACCTAGGCGAGGCCCAGGATCGGTTCAGACATTCGTCACTGGTGTCGGCCGTGAGCGGGAATCGAACTCGGGGCACCAGGTTCTTAGCGCAGTGCGTTAACAACTCCGTGTGTGACACGCACACACGGCATACACAGGGGCAGTGATGGGACAACTGCCGTTCACCACTAAGTTGCGGTGACATCACCACGGCGCTTGTGCCAGGTTCGGTGCAATTTGACGCCACGTGCAGTGTCGAAGGCTCACTGCTGTCACGTGACGGGACAGACCCAGGTTCCAAAGTTTGACTGCCTGAGATGACTGACAGATGCACCAACTGTGCTCCCTACTGTGACAATTTTCTTCGTTTTACCTGTCCTGTGCTAAGACAAAGATCCCCCAGTATAGCCTTAACAGACTGTTGGGGCAAGTGTTGCTCATGAGCATCTATGAAGGCCGGAACGGCACATGAAGGGCGTGGGTGGACAGCACTACCCCGGCCACCTTTGTATCCCCAGTGGCGATGGTTACACATCGCACTCGGTACTCAATTGAGGCTGAGTCGACCTAGGGGAGGCCCAGGACCGGTTCAGATAATCGTCACTGGTGTTGGCTGTGAGTGGGAATGGAACTCGGGTCGCTGGATTCGTAGCGCAGCGCGCTAACCGCTTCAGACCCGCTCGCCACACACACCGCCCGCTCCCTCGCCTACACCACCCTCACCGCTCTCACTGCCACCACCACCCTCACCACCGTAGCACGAGGTGGTGGCTCCCGCTCCGCGGATCAGCTTGATAACGATCGGCAAACACAGACCCTAATTGGTGTCGTGTCAGCGCTTCTTCACGGTCTGCAAAGAGGCGGCACGGAAGGTGGGGGGGGGGCAGTGGGGGGGGGCAGTGGGGGGGGGCGGTGGCGGCGGTGGCGGCAGCAGCTTCCGCTCGAGAGACGTGGGATGCAGTCGCCCCTCACGAGACTTGTCCAAGGTCCGCGTGCGGGCCCCACACCACAACATGTCCGCTGAGGACCCCCAGTCACTCGCCAGGCCCCGCTATGGGCCTCCCACACCCACCACGTTCACTGAGGGCCCCCACATATCCAGCTAGTGATCGGCCGGCTAGTTGGTGATCTTTACGGTGAGGACACGAGCAATCGGCCCTGCTGGTGGTGAGCATTACGGTGAGGACACGAGCAATCGGCCTGCTAGTGGTGAGCATTACGGTAGGGACACTTGCGATTGGCCGGCTGACACTCTCCACCTCTAATCTGCTCGCCCATCGCCACACGCAACGTTTTCAGTTTCCGTGCGGTGTCCCCCGCGCCGCTCGCGCCTCTCCGCACGCACGACAACAATTGCCGTTTGCCACTAAATGGCGGTGACATCGCGAGGCTAGGTGCACCTTGAGGCCACGTGAAGTGCCAAAGGTTCGCCGACACATGCACGCATACACGGGCACACAAAGAAAAGACAAAATTCCCCCGTGTAGCCTTAACAGACTATTGGGACAAGTGTTGTTAGCGAGTAGCACGCACGCACGCACACACAGACGGGCATGTGTGCCCTCCGCCAAGCTGAGCGCTTCACTTCCATTCCCAGCGGCGTTTCTGATCGACGTCAAACTTAATTGCGTGCTGCCTGGTGCGTGGGTCCAGTGGGGGGGGGGGGCGGGGGACAATGGGTTCACGTGAGAAAGGGGGGCAGGGGGGAGTGCCTCACCGGAGTAGGACCAGTAGGCCCCGACGTCGCCGGCACCGTTCAAGGGAGGCGCCTCGCTGCCGTACTCCCCCGTGCTGCTGTGCAGGCAGCTACGCGCGTCGCTCCCTGCGGCGCACACGCGCGGTCACAAACAAACACTCGTCAGCACGAGAGAGACAAAGATCCCCCAATGAGGTGCCATCGCCGCCGCACCTCGTCGCGACCGCCGCCGCACCTCGCCGCGACCGCTGCGTTTGCACCCTCCCTGCCAGATGCCACAGCTGCTGCACAGCACAGGGGAAGCACGGCTACCTCCAAGCTCTACCCTGACAGTCTCTCTGCACCATCTGGCATTAGATAGACTCTACAGAAACCTACAGAGTCGTACAGGGCCCTATAGACTCACACAGAGATCCATAAAATCAAACAGAGACCCATAAACTGACAACAGAGAGCCTACAAACTGAAAGAGAGACACGCGACACATGAGACACGTACCCACATGCACAACACCCACATACTGGCGTAAGCACACACGCAGACAGCACAAGCCATCACTCCACACATAACACGCTCGCGACAAAGACCCCCTGTATGGCCTTGAACAGACTGTTCGGGCAAATTCTGTTGGCCAACACCTATGAAGGCTGGAATGGCACAGGAGGGGGTGGGTGGCCAAGACTGGGTGAAATATGTGCCACTATTATGGGTCATGAGGACAAATTGAACTCAGATCATCAGAGTTCATGGTGCAGTGTGCTAACGACTGTACCACCACTCACCACACACACACAAGCTCAAAAGTACAAAAGTAAAAAAATCATCACGGTGATTAGCCGCTCAAATTATCGAGGCACTGGTGAAGCATCTCCTGTTACAACCCTGCACAGCTCGTAGTGGAAAATCCACATTCCTATGGCAAGGGTTAGTCCAACCGTAGGACATAAATACACACCACAAAGTATTCATGTAAGGCTGAGTCGCTCCAGTTGAGTTATTCGCCACTGATAATTGCCGTGGCCGGGAACAGAACTAATGTGGCTGGGTTCATAACCTCGTGCGCCAAGCACTGCACCGCCACTCCACCAACACATCCCCAATCGAGGCTTTACCACGCCCTGCTGTATTAATGATGTTTACACTCATTTCAGGCCAAGTCAACCTAAGGGAGTCCAGGGTCCGTTTCCGAAATCACTCGCAGCTGATATTACAGCCACGGCCAGCAAACGGGTTTCCGGGTTCACAGTGCAACGCACTATCATCCACCAGCAAGCCACCGCCTCCCACACAGACTAAAAGACAAAGCTTCCCCGTAAACCATTTTAAGTATGTTGGGCCAAGTGCTGTTATCGAGCACGTATGAAGTCTGACAGGGAGGTGGGTTGACAGTAATGCGCCCGGCCACCTTTGTCTCCCCAGTGTTCACACACCATGCGCTCATTTAACGCTGGGTCAGCACATGCACACACAGGTATACAATACTGTACACATACAAATATCGCATTTAAATATGTAGACGCACACACACATATGCAGACATACACTCAAATAAAACAAAGAACAATTGCCAATTAGCCAAAAAGACAGCTTGGGTCAAGTACTGTTAGTGAGCACCTTTTATACCAGGCATGGCTACAAGAGCAGCTGCACCACCAGCAACACCAGCACCAAAGATCCCCCGTGTAGCCTTAACAGACTGTTGGGGCAAGTGCTGTTAGCGAGCACCTATGAAGGCCAGCACGGCACACGAGGGGGTGGGTGGCAAGCACCACGCCCGGCCGCCTTCGTCTCCCCAGTGGCGATATTTACATACCGCACCAGGTACTCATTTGAGACTGAGTCGACCTAGGGGAAGCCCAGGACCGGTTAAGCAACACCACCACCAGCAGCACCACCAGCACCACCGACAGCTGCAGCAGCCCCTCAGCTCAGGCGTGTGGCGGTGCGCGAACGAGAGATCAAAACCAAGGTCAGCCCTGCACCGCTGCTGCCACTCTACATAGGTCTCATCTCCACGGCAACTCTCCTGCATATTTTACCTGCCCCACTTGCCTCTTGTCACGCAGACGTGCGGCGGGGGGGGGGGGGGCGCTCCAACAGCAGCGGCGGCGACGACGACGAAGCGCCGGACTGACTCGGCAGCGCCTCGCCGTCTAGTCCCAAGGCCCACACCCGCGAGGGTCCTGCGCCGAGACGTTTGGCACGCGCGCCCCCTTTGCCCGTCCGCTGCCGGGTGAGGGCCCCCCCCCACCGCACAGCGCGCGCATGGGTCGTCGTTTAGGGGTAACCTAACCGTACTTCACCGCGCTCGACGCTGCCGTGGTATTTGGCGACGGCGCTGCTGCTGCGTTGGCAGCCATGCACAAGCACGGGAAGCACTGGTAACGCTCGGCACTTCTAGATTTGAAGCTTTCGTGACTGCAAGGATTCATATTCTTAGGTTTTTTCGGAAAAGTCACGTAGGTAAAAAAATTTAAATTAATAAAAGTAAAATTAAAAAAATTAAAAAATCACGACGTTTCGGAGGCAACACAAGCTTCCGTCTTCAGGTGGAACCGTCACAGCACGATAGCTGTATCTCACTTGATACAGCTATAGCTGTAGCTATAGCTGTATCTCACTTGATACAGCTATAGCTGTATCTCACTTGATACAGCTAAGACGGAAGCTTGTGTTGCCTCCAAAACGTCGTGATTTTTTATTTTATTTTTATTTTTATTAATTTTAATTTTTTTACCTACGTGACTTTACCGAAAAAACCTAAGAATATAACGCTCGGCATGTTCGTCAATAACCTCACCGCGCGTGTGTGGTCTGAGAAGGAAAAAATATACAGCAGCCGTCGTGTCGTGCAACGGCCCTAATTCTTCATAGCACTGTGAGCTTCACCTGGTAAATAATAAAAGTTTAGTTTTAGTTTTGTTGGCAAACGTGCCGAGTCTTTTGGCGAGCGCAGGGTTGCTGGTAAAGGCGGGATGAGCGTCGACGCAGGAGCATCGAACCGCAGTACAGTACAACAATGGGTGTCGCTGCGCTGTCCAGCACACACAGCCCAGATTCGTTATGGATTCACACACACAATGTTAATTTAATCGTTAAAGTGAATTGCCAATTACACCCTTACTCTCCTGACATTAGGGGTTTAATGAATTCTCGCCCCCCTCCCAATGCGATGAATCGTCAGAGAACACAGTTCCTCAGGAATCTCTTCTGAATGGTAGCGCCTCTCGTGGTTGCAGGGTAAAGTGAAAACCCCTGTTACTACGTGCCAAGATGAATTATTTTGTACGGCGCTTTGGCAATAAACTCCCAGAGCCACCACCGCCGCCATCCCTCACGAATCCTGTGATGGTGGCGATCCACCTGGCAACTGCACGCGAGCTCATTTCATCGCTCCATCTCCATTGGCTAAGCCGTTCTTGCGGGCGCTTTCCATCCATTGGATGACCCTAAGCCATTACTCTTGACCTCTGGGTAACCATCGCACGTTCTGCCCTAGCCCACTCACTGAACAACGACTCATTTTTAACCCAAGTACGCTTTCAGATCCGTAAGCTTCCAAAGTTTTGCCCGTAGTGCAATCCCCTACCAGACGTGATTCGCACACAAATGATACAAGGATTATTTGTGGGGTGCCTTTCTGTCTTGGACAAATTCTGTCTTTTTCAAGTCCGGTGACGAAATGTTAACTACCTCGCCTGGTATGCCAGAGGTCGTGGGTTCAATCCCGACCCTGACGCCTGTATATTTGGAGTTCACATGTTCTCCCCGTGATCGCGTAGATGTTTCTCCACATTTAGAAACAACATGCGTTTCGAATATTTGGCTACTATACATTTCCACGTGAAAAGCCACTTCATTAAGTTATCATGTGTGGCCAGGTCGCTTCTGAAGAAGAGCTACATAAGCTCAGTAGGCCTTACCCGGTACAATAAAAATAGTTTATAAAAAAAAAATGTACTGTACAAAATTCGATGCCGCAAATTAGATGCAGAGCAGCACGGCTTACGAGGAATCCCACGGGCCACACCGCATGCACCACCCTGGCGACGTCGCGCGTAGCCCCAAGCGCTACGCGTACCGCAGAAAAAGGGAAAGGCTGCGCTAATCCGCGCGTTCCTCTGCTCCGCACGACTATTCAGGAAGCAACAACGCCGAGACGCAGTGCGCCCCCACCGCCTTGCCACACTGCTGCCTGATGAGTAGATACTCCTCTCCCGGGCAGAAGGGGAAGTGGCTGCCCATGTCATCAATTACTGCTCGTTAGGGGTAATTGGTGAAATTCAACCAAACACACGCTCCACCCCATGGATTAAAATGTCAGGATGGTGGCGACGCAGATGCCAGCTCTCGCAACCGGTCACTCGTGCGTTGTTCCGTGACCCAGACAAAGATTCCCCCCCGTGTAGTCTTTAACGGACGAGTGCTGTTCACGAACACCTCTGGGGGCCGGCACACGAGGGGAATGTACGGCTGGCACCACGGCTGGCTGCGTTCCTTGTCTCACCCTCGTTTCTTCCCAAGTGCTGATGTATACGCATCGTGCCAGGCATTCATTTCAGGCCGAGTTGACTGAGCGGAGGTCCCAGCAACAATTTAGATATTTGTCACCGATGTTGCCTGAGAGCAGGAATTAGTAGCGCATTGAGCTAACGACTGGCACACACACACACACAAAGATCCCCCGTCGTATAGCCTGAACAGACTGTTGGGGCAAGTGCTGTTAGCGAGCACCTATTAAGGCCGGCACGACATCATGCCCAGCCGCCTTTGTCTCCCCAGTAGTAATGTTTACACAACACACCAGGTACTTATTTGAGGCTAAGTCGACCTAGGGGAGGTCCAAGACTGATTCATATAATCGTCACTGGTGTTGGCCGTGAGCGGGAATCGAACTCGGGTCGCCGGGTTCACTGCAAAGCATGCTTACCGTTGCACTAACCACACCCCACACACGCACAGACTTCCACCTACACACAGACAAAAGACACACTTGTAGTCTCACAAGCACAGCCACATAGTCACACGGTCTCTCTCACACACACATTCATACATACAGATAATAGACATACACACAGCCATACTATCACATACGCACAGTCAGCCACACACAGCTATGCGTATAGCGTTTTACACACACAGCCAGTCACAATCACACAGTCACACTATCACATACGCACAGTCAGCCACACACAGCTATGCGTATAGCGTTTTACACACACAGCCAGTCACAATCACACAGTCACAATCACACAGTCACAATCACACAGTCACAATCACACAGTCACAAAAACATATATAGTCCCAAACACACAAAGATAAAGTTCCCCGAGGATCCTCCAATGGCTATGGGGGCAAGTGCTGGTAGAAAGCATCTCAGCCACACACAAAAGACAAAGAGCCCCGTATAGCCCATCACAGGGTGTTGGGGGCAAGTGCTGTTCGCGAGCACTTAACAAGGCCGAGAACGGCACACGAGGGGGTAGGGTGACCAGCACCACGCCAGGCCACCTTTGTCTCCCGCAGGGGTGAAGTTTACCATAAAACCACACCACGTTACCCGTCTAAGGCTGCGCTGACGCCACAACTGAATGGGGGGAGGAAACGAGCGGCTGGGGAGATGAAACAGGGAACCCACTGGAGGTGTTTGGGTTTTTTTCTTTTGTGGAGCCGACGATGATAATGACGCCCCACCTCTTCGCGGCACGCTCCCCCGATTTTAGCAGCTGCTCACTCCTTCCTTCTCAGAGGGAGCGAACAATTAGCTTGTGATCAGCACACACCGATAGCATGAGTTAACCATTGGGGGGGGGGGGGCGGGGAGCTCATCCCTTGACAGCGCCAGGGCATTGATCATCCTCATTGTGTCTTATTATCTGGAGGAACCCATGCAACTGCTTGTTCACACGCCACTGCTGGTAGAGGAAGCTCTAGAGAGAGAACCCCTTCTATAGCATTGTTCTTCACTAATTTTCCGAGCGGGGGGGGGGTCACTTTCGCCGATAAGGCATCATCAGTGCGAGGGCCACCACACATTTGAAACCATTGGGGATTTGACAGCAGGATGATGATGATGGGGAGGGGTGTGTTTTCACAATTTGTGTATTGTCGGGGGCCGCACTAAAGGCCACGAGTGGCCCACGGGCCTTGCAATGAAGAGCACTGGACCAGAGGGTAGTTTGCCCAACCTCTCCCACAGGGAGTACCCACACTTCACCCCGCCGCACCAATTGGGGTGCATCCACTTGGACGCAGGCGGTGGGCAACTTCACAAACTTTCGCCATCGTTTCATCTGCCTCGCCGGGGGACTGAACCGGCGGACCTCTGCATCGCAAAGCCCAGCCAGTGTATCCTGAGGGTGGCAGAGGACATCCCCCCTGTCGCCACTCCCAAGGTGAACAGGGAATGGCTCCGATTCGCGGCCACGCAGCTTTACCCGGGCCTGCCCATCCACAGCTAAGAAGGTCCTGGATGCTCGCGAGCACAGGGACGGTGTTTAATTAATGTCACGCGTCACCGGGTTCACAGCTTAGTCACTTAAAACCACTGCTGCCCGCAGACTTTAGACACAGGAGGCATAGATTCCCCACCCGGATAGCCTTTAAACAGACTGTTGGGGCAAGTGCTGCTTGCGAGCACTTATTCATGCCGGAACGGAAAATAGGACGGTCAAAACCACGTCCGGCCGACTCTGTCCCCCCCCCCCCCCCAGTATTGTGGACAGAACACGCCAGGCACTCGTTTTATGGCTGAATGGACCTAGGGGAGAGGGGTCCAGGACCAGTTCAAAAATTCGCTCACGACTGTTCACGGTCGTGTGCAGGAATCGAACTCGCGCGTGCCGGGTTCGTGGAGGAGTGTGCTAACCACTGCACCACCACTCCCCACTTACAAAGGCCCTGTATAGCCTTAAATGTTGGAGCAAGTGTTGTTAGAGAGCACCTATGAAGGCGGGAACGGCACACGAGGGGGTGGGTGGCCAGCACCACGCCCGACAGCCTTTGTCTCCCTAGTGGCGATGTTTACACACCGCATCAGGTACTCGTTTGAGGTTGAGTCGACCTAGGGGAGGCCCATGACCGGTAAAAATAATATAATCGTCACCGTTGTTGCCCGTGAGCGGGAATCTAACTCGGGTCGCCGGATTCATAGCCCAGTGCGCTAACCGCTACATTACCGCTCCCCAAAGCAACACACTCAGAGCCAAAAACACACCGTACAGCCACACACACAGCAACATGTAAACACAAACACACAACACTGCCATATAAACAGGGTCAAACACACCACACACACACAGCAAAACACACAGCCACAGCTACACACAAAGCCAAAAACACACCCTACAGCCACACACACAGCAACGCGTAAACAAAAACACACATTGACATATAAACAGGGTCAAACACACCACACACAGCCACACAGCTGCATAGTCACACACACAGCCACACACACCCTCGCATCCACCCCCCCCCCTGGTCAACACCAACCCCAGACTGAACACTACAACCGCTGCGCAACATCGACACGAAGCCATGAGCACACTTCACCAGCAAGGCACAACGACGTCGCACCCCCGAGCCTGAACACCACAACCAACCACAACCACCACAACCACCACCGCAGTACAACCACGAAACACAACCACCACAACCACCGCAGCACAACCACGACACTTCTGCCTCAACACCATGGCCAGCAGACCACCACCACCACGAGCTCTAACCACTGCCCCACCACTCCCCACTTACAAAGGAAAAGATGCCCCGTATAGCCTTAAATGTTGGGGCAAGTGTTGTTAGTGAGCACCTATAATTTGTCCACAGTGGCCTTCACAGGAGTCAGATATCCCGGCAGGGTGGACTATCCGTTTGCTTAAACGCGTCAATAGTATTAGTCCTTGATCGTTTCTGCGTGGATTAAATATCGGCCGTTCTATAGGATTCGGGGGGGGGGGGTAGAAAGTCCGCGTGCGTACAGGGAGGGGGGGGGTCAAGTTTTGACATATTGTTGCGTACCTACTACATGGGGTGGGGGGCTAAACGGGCGCACCGACATGATGAGCCTGGCCTCGCAACTCGGAACAAATCTGCGCCACAACCCACCCCCACCACAACCACCCCCACCACAACCCCCCACCCCCACCACAACCCCCCCACCACAACCCCCCCACCACAACCACCCCCACCACAACCCCCCCACCACAACCCCCCCACCACAACCCCCCCACCACAACCACCCCCACCACAACCCCCCCACCACAACCACCCCCACCACAACCACCCCCACCACAACCCCCCCACCACAACCACCCCCACCACAACCCCCCCACCCCCAACACAACCCCCACCACAACTTCCAGCCTCAACAGCCGTACCACGAGCCCTAAACGTTGCTACAGCATTCGAAGTGAGCAGTAATAGAGCTGTGAAAACCATCACCAATATCATCATCACATAGTGCAGAGGGATGTGTTCGGTTCCCGCTCACGACCAACACCGGTGACGATTATCTGAACCGGTCCAGGGCCTCCCCTAGGTCGACTCCGCCTCAAATGAGTACTTGCTTGCGGTGTGTAAACATCGCCACTGGGGAAACAAAGACGGCCGGGCGTGGTGCTGGCCACCCACCCCCTCGTGTGCTACGCTGGCCTTCATAGGTGCTCGCTAACAGCACTTGCCCCTCCAGTCTGCTGAGGCTACACGGGGGGGTCTTTGTCTTTATCTTTGGTGTGTGTGGACTGCAGCGGCTGAGGGCAACTCACAGGCCGCGAGTCTCGCCAAGATGAGTCCCGCCACGAGCAGCCGGGGCCCCGGGAGAGCCGGCGGCGTCGTCCCCTTGCCCGCCGAACCCCGCAGCAGCAGCAGCAGCATCACCATCATCATCCTCTGGTTGCTTCCGAGCGGGTTCCTCCTCAGAAGGCACCAGACGTTGCTTTTGGTCCCAAAGTCGTCCGGCGATTTTGGGGGCCTCAAGCCATCAAAGAGGTCCCAGATTCTGGGAAATTCATGTCACGAATCCTCTTTCGCCTTTCCAGTTGTACGGATCTAAAAAAAAAGTTATTGGTCTTTCAATTCCACGCTCCTCAATATTGCAGGGTTTAAATTCCCTCTTCTTTTCAGTAACCAAGTCTTCAAGGCTCCTGGTCCTTTAGTTCCATAGTTCCCGATGCTATTTGAATGTCATTCGACTCTTCGGTTGCAAGATGGCCAGGAGATGGACACTCAAGCTATGGATTATTGAATATCCCCGTGCCAATCGTCGTGTCACCTCCTCGTGGGTGGTGGATTTTCTCCCCCACGAATCCCAAATCGTTCGTGGGATTGGCCAAACATCTCAACGTGGCAGGAGCCTCCTCGAATGAAGTCTTGAGACTCGGCGAGGATTTACTGGGAAGATAATTGGCATCGCCGTTAACCCTTATGAGTTAGGTCTTCACGCCGTCAAGGCTCCGAGCTCTTCAGCTTTGCCAGGGTGTCTGGGACTTCACGAGCCAGCTGACCACGTCCTTCCGATAGCTCCAAAGTCGTTTGGGTCTTCAAAAGCCAAAATGTCCCAACCTGTATTACACGTTTCTAAGTTATTAGAAAATCACGTGCCAGGTACTTGCTCTCCAGAATGTACATATCTTCCGGCTCATGTCGATATGAGGGTCGAAAGTTGTTCAGTCCACAACCTCTTTGGTCCAGTGGGCCGTGACCCGAGAAATCTCATACCCTGGTCTTCGTAGCGATCAGAACCCACAGTCGTCTCAACTCCTTTTCCGTCACAGGTCATACACATACCCCGGGTCCTTGTAACCCCCGTGACCCTCGGGGTCCCACGTCCTCTTGGTCCCAACTTGTCGTTGTGCCAGGCACCCGTGTCCCCAGATCCGCGTGGCCTCACAAGCACCCGCGGTCCCAGATCTCAAGTCCCAGGCACCTTCTGGACCCAAGTTATCGTGCTCCCAGGTCGTCAGAACTCGTGGGCTCAGGTACCCAATGCTCGAGGTCCCAAGTCCCTGTGGTCCACAGGTCCCCGTGGTGGTCCCAGCCCCCTTGACACGTGGTTCCCCAGAGCTCGTGGTTCCCCGGTCCTCGTGGTCTCCAGCTCCTCGTGGTCCAAGTTCCCCGAAGCTCGTGGTCCCAGTTCCCCGAAGCTCGGCGTCCAAGGAGCTCGTAGTCTCCAGATCCCCGGAGTTTGTGGTCCCAGATCCCCGGAGCTCGTAATCCCCAGATCCCCGGAGTCCCCAGGTCCCCGGAGCTCGTGGTCACCGGAGCTCGTGGTCCCCGGTCCCCGTGGTTCCGAGGTCCCCGTAGTTCCGAGGTCCCCGTGGTTCCCGGGCTGATCACTCCCGCCCGGTCTGCCACTCCGCTCTGCCCGAGCGCTCGTGGCCTCGCCCCCTTCCCCGCTGCCCCTCCCCTCGCCTAGTCCACTCCGTCAGCAAACGGGGGGGGGGGGGGGGTTGGATAGTCCCCCCGACCCCGAATATTACCACTAAGATTCCAGTTCGTACAAATAATACGAAGGTTTATAAAGCTTCTTTTAAAAAAAAATCGCAAATCATTGAAAGAGAAGTAATCATTACTTTAGATTTGTTGCGAACGCGGAGCGCGAACCGTACACGAAACAGCGATGCGTGAATGTGAACGCGACTTGATTTTATTATTTGTAAACTTCCTTTGCTCCCCCCCTACTGACGAGCCCAAGATGGACTCGCCCACCTGCTCGTGGTCACGTGTGGCGAGCGGACCAATGGAGATGCGGAAGGCGGCGCTAAAGTTTCGGTTTTGGCGGGAGCCAGTTTTTTTGGGCCCAAGCTGCCGCCTCCGGAAGCTTCTACCGAATTCCAGCTCGCAACTTTAATTCGACTGAACGTTACACATTGTCGATATATATACATCGCGATGCATATATTACTTCTGATGGGAGACGCAAAGGCGAATAAGCAGAGGCGAGCGGCAACACCTCTATGAACCCCACGCGTTAATACATCTCAGCTCATAAATAGCTACTTTGGCCAGTGGGTGCAGAATCACAATTAACAAAATAAAAAATATAATCGGTGACGTTTCGGGCATTGGCCCTTCTTCATGGCACATCAACTTAGAGATGTGGAGGCGGATTGTCTAATGTTGTTATTTGGTGTACTGCCAAGGCCGTGAATGGACTTTAATATCGTTACAGGACGATACATTTCACAATGTTGTCGTTCCTGCTCGACCAGGAGGTAAGCTCCATCTCCAGGGTGGATGCTCCTCCAGTCGTCCCGAGAGGACGTCTAACGGGGAGATGGAGCAATTAGTTCAGCTCTGGTGTGTAGAGCAGGGCAGGGGGGGGGGGGTGGATTGTCACATCGCGAGATCGCGAGGGGTGGCGGTGAGTTGAGTCCTTCATCCAGCAGCGGGTGGAGCGTGGCTGGTGCTGCTTCGGGCGCCTTCACTCGAGGCGCTCGACACAAGCTGCATCAGACGTGGCGGTGACAGATTGGAATGATGTAGTTGACAGGGCACACTGACCGCTGCGTTGCGTGACATTCTATCGGATGCGGTGAGAGGGAATGGAATCTCTGACCCCCCAGGTGCGGTTCGAGTGAAGTGAAGTCGTGGGTCGTGGGGGGGTCCCCCCACTCCCCGCATCAGCTCACCCATGCCTGTGTATGCAGTGTGTTGAACTTCTTTCGCACCCTACGTAGCCCTCCGTGCTAATGTGGAGGTGTAAGATGCTGTGAGTGGCGACGACGTGCAGAGCTCCTCCAGCCCGGCAACGGCAGGCAGCCTGCTCCAGGTGTTGCTTAAACCTGACTCGTGATTAAGTATTAAACGTGAACACATTATTAAATGTAAAATACAATTACGTGTAAAATATAACGTCAGGCGCTATGATCGGGAGCCGCTATAAATCAGCGCGATTGTAATTAATTATGAAGGCGGCGGGGGAGGTGGATTGTGAGCGGGGAGGGGTGAGGAGAGAGTCGAGGGGGCATGGGGTGGGGGGGTGAGAGCGGTGGTGCAAGTGTAGTATTCTTGAATAAGACAGAGACTTCGTAGAGGCCACACGCTTTTATTCCAATAAACACGAGTCCTCCGGACTCACTGGGGGAACAGCCCAACCACACAACCTAGGGAGGTACAGCCTCCGGCTCCATTCTCATTACTCTCCTTCCCGAGCCTACAGCTACTCAGCCCACTCAGTCCCAGCGGGGCGGCATCCTCGAGGCTTGGGGTCCAGGATCTCCGGCCGCACCTCCTTCAGCTTCTCGTGAGATGGACCCCCTCCGCTCTCCGGGAGCCGTCTTATATATCCCCTCTCTGAGGGGCGGGGCTGTCTCGGGGCTCTGGCTCTCGCAGCCCCCTCCCCTCAGAGCGGTTCCAACCGCCTCTCGTCCCTGCCGGTCCGGACCGGTCCAGACCGGTACGCACCTCTCCCCTAGCTTGTGTGACCTGTGTGACCTGTGTCAACCTTGGTGTCAACCTTGACCACCACACAAGTGTTAGCACGCTGCGCTATGAACCCGGCCGCTTGAATTCGATTCTCGGCCACGGCTGACATCAGGGGTGAGTGATATCTGAATCTGACCGAGGCCCGATCTCCCCTTCCCCCAGCCACCAATAGCGAGCGTCGTGAGGTATGGTCAAACAAGCCCCTCTTGGCACAGTGAGGCCTTCATCCACAGGGCCACCCCCATCTCGACTGGCGGGACGAGAGGGCTTCTCTCACCTTGACTTTAACCCTCACCTTGACCCTGCGGCACAAACCTTAAACTTAACCATCATTATAACCCTGATCCTATACCCGAATCATAATCCTTGACCCTGCGGCCCAAACCTTAAACTTAACCATAATTATAACCCTGATCTATACCCGAATCATAATCCTTGACCATAATCCTAAACAATTAGTATTGCATAATCCTGAACCAGACCCCTGACCATGAATATTAACCACATGTCTTAACCGTAAGGCTGACGACTCCAGCTCAGATAGGGCGTCTTCAGGGTATCTGGGTTGGGAGGCGTCAGGCAAGAGCGTCTCCGTAGGTATAGCAGTGGATCGATCCTAGCTGATGACGATGAGCACGGATAATCGTTGGATTCTCTTACACGTGGGAGTCTCAGATCGGGGATTTGGGTGAGGGCCATCATTAGGTGCGCCAATAGCCCCCCCTCCACCACCCCCACCCAATTACCCCCCCCCTATTTTTACCACAGTGCACGAGCCCCCCCACCCGCAAGCTCCATTTTAATACCCACGGTGCCCCCCCCGGTCCCCTTAATTATTCACGGACGTTGATTTCGCCGTTAATTACGAATCAACAGCACGCACTGGCGCGGTAATTAGCGGAACCGCGAGGTCACCAAGGGGAGCTTGGAGGGGAGGGGGGGAGGGGAGGGTGGGGGGAGGGATGGGAGGGGAGGGTGGGGGGAGGGATGGGAGGGGAGGGGGAGGGAGGGGAGGGTGAGTGGAGGGAAGGGGAGTGGAGGGAAGGGAGGGAGGGGAGGGGAGGGATGGGAGGGAGGGGAGGGGAGGGATGGGAGGGAGGGGAGGGGGGGGAGGGGAGGGTGAGTGGAGGGATGGGAGGAAGGGGAGTGGAGGGAAGGGGAGGGGAGGGGAGGGATGGGAGGGAGGGGAGGGGAGGGATGGGAGGGAGGGGAGGGGAGGGATGGGAGGGAGGGGAGGGGGAGGGGAGGGTGAGTGGAGGTCTGTTCGCGGGGGCTGGGGATAGGTGGGGGGGGGACTGTGGCGAGGGTGGTGGTGGAGAGGATTGAGTGCGGCGGGGGGGGGGGGCAGGAAAGCGGGAGGAGTGGGTGAGGAGGATGGAGGGGACGGTGGGGAGGGCAGCAGAGAAGTGAGGGGCAGGGTGAGATGGGGTGGGTTGTTGGGGGGGGGGGGGAGCGAGGGGTGGGGGGGGGGGAGCGAGGGGAGGGGGGATCGCTCCTGTATTCAGGTGTGTGTGCCCATCTGTTATCACCTACTCACAGAGACAAAGACCTTCCGCTTAGCGTCTACTAGGCAATATTGTTGGGGCGAGTACTGTTAGCGAGCACCTACTAAGGCCGGCACGCCAGGCGCAGGGGGTGGTGTGACCAGTCCCACGCCCGGCCGCTTTACCTCCCCAATGCTGATGTTTACACACTGCACCGAGTACTTATTTAAGGCTGAGTTGACCTTGGGGAGGCTCAAGACCGGTTCTAATATCACTCGCCACTAATGTTAGCCGTGACCGGGAATCGAACTCAGGACTGCGAGCCTGGTTTGCAGTGCAGTGCGCTAACCATTGCGGCATCGCTCCTCACTTTACACGTGTGTGTATTCACACGCAGGATTCAGGCATTTCGTAGGCAATGGTCAATCAATTAGAGGAGTTAAAAATCACCGCCTTCGTCATTAACCTTGCCTTTTAACAATTACAGAGAGACGCCGAGAAAACACACAGCCGGGAACAAACACTGATCAGACAGTTTAACACGTAGCAGGCTTTCGCGACCAATATTATTCATAATAAACGTTTTTGGATTAGATCGCGTTATTTATAAATGTGTCGAAACCCTCCACCACCCGACACGGCCAATCAGCAAAAAAGTGTCACGTTGACAACAGACAAATAGTTCACTACTTTAGCCCAACGGTGTGTTGAAGAGTGAAACCACCATTCTGGCGAATTGCCCGATGATGCTGGATGCAATTAGCAGCGAAACGTCGGACTCAAACATTGTAAATGTTCTATCGCACCATATACGTAACCAACCATGCTGATCGGAGAGCCGTCCATAGGGGTGCGGGGCATGTCACACACTGTGGGCCCCCTGACGCCTTCAAACGAAACCATAAGTATTACATCTGACACCGTGACGTCGAAACGCGAAGCCCCCCAAAGCGCTGGGCTTGGGCCGGTCGCCCCGATTCGCCGTACCGTCGGGACGGCTCTTCCTGATGATGTACGAGACCGGCGACAGATTGGCACCCAGAGGGCACGACGAGTCCAAGAGGACAACCGCCGTCGAGACGGAGTGGCGAATTCAGCTGATGTGCGCGTTCCGGGTGTATTTTTTTAATGGAATAAACCGTGACCACACACGGCAACGACGGCTTCTAGAGACCTTCATCCAGCAGTGGATGATCTGAGCTGATGGTAGTTGTGATATTTAATAGGCTTGACGTTTCGAGGCATTACCATTATTTTTCAGCAGAAGGAGGCGCAGAGGTAGGGATTTGTGGATGGCTATTTACACTGCGTGGCGCTGACACTGCAAGAGTATTTTGATGCAATAAAGTTGACGAGTAGAAGTTTTGTATTGACACGTGAACAGTTTTCCATTACTGAGCGTGGAATAGCAAACCTTTACAGAGTCAACAATATATATAGAATTTAAATTAAAAACAT